TCAATTGCTCAAAAAAAAAAGTCAATTGCTCTCCAAGTTTCCCACTGAATAGGATTCCTTCATTCCCTAACTTTCCCAACAGATATGTTAGGGACATTATCTGAAACACTAACTACTGCACACATATCCACCAGTTGCTGTAGGCACAGGAGCTTTCACTGCAGTTGGCTACATTCTGGTTATTTCTCTGGTCTTCTAGATTAAATGATTAATGGAATTGTGTTAAGTAAGTCAGAGTACGGCTCTCAAGAACCCGAGGAAAGCCAGGGGGACCAGAGGTAGTCATGTTTCCTTTCTGTGGAGCCGGCTCTTGCAAGGCTGCCAAGAGCCACTCCCAGGGCCACTGTGGATGTTTAGATCTTGCAACACTGCTCCTGCTCACCCAACTTCTGAGGAAGTGAGTCCAAATGAACCTCTCTGGAAGTAACACAGCCCCACAGAAACGCCCCAAGATCTTTATGTGAAGGAAGCAACGCAGTTTTGGTTAGAAGCAAGCTGTACTGGGATGGGGGTGGGGCTCAAAACTAGTAATAAAAATTCTTTTTAAAAACACAATAAATTGAAAGGCCACTAACGCGTCTTGTACACTGATTTAAGCATGGAGTTAGCCACCAGCTCAATATTAAAGAGTTTAAGGGAGGTGTAATGAGGATTTATTTTTTCCCACTTGTCTTTGGCAGAATTGGATCTCTTTGGGGAGATGCATGAAAATCTTTGTATTGCTATAGATTCAGAGATTGTTATAAACTTACAAGAATCTTTTTCTAGTTGATTAAAATAAACATGTAACTAGAACTAGTAGAAACCTGGAAAAAAATTTAAGGTATATTTAAAAATGCAACTCTAATAGCAGGAATTACGTACACATACTTTTGATTCAATTCAGTTCTTTACTGAAGTATTATCTCTGTATATCCCTTAATCATAAATCATAGCAACAGTAGTTACCACTGGAAAGTGATACAGCCCACAGTACTGTAATGAGAAACTATAAATTCACACATATACAGATTAACTGTAATTTATCTAGTAATACAAACTTTTTTATTGCTTTAACAATTTTGAGTGAAAGTGTAAATTATATAAAGACAGAATTTAAAATCAAAGATGGAAACGCACAGTGGAAATTACAAACAAGGAGAAAACAAAAAGCATCTAAAGAAGTAGTCCAGATGTTCCACTGTTAAGTTCCATGGTGTTTTGAGATATCAAAGCATGGTACATTTCAATTTTTAAAATCAACTTTGCTACGGCACTGTCCAAGAGAACTTACTGGAAGTGTTACGTATTTACACTGTGCAAGGTGGTAGCTGCTGTAGGTTGAACGGTGTCCCCTGAAAGACACGGGAAAGTCCTAACCCTAGATCTCTGTGAATGTGACTTATTTGGAATCAGAATTTTTCCACTTGTACCAAGATGAGGCCATCCTGGATTAGGCTGCAGGCTCTAAATCCAGTGTGACTAGAGTCCTACGAGACAATGACACAGACACACAGAGATGAAAGGCAGCAGAGCATGTGAACACCGAGACACAAACTGAGCAGTGCAGCTTCAAGCGCCAAGAACCACCACAGTCGGTTGGCAGCCAGCAGAAGATGGGAAGAGGCAAGCGGAAATCTCTCCCATATCCTTCAGTGAGCAGGGCCCTGCTGATACCTCTATTTCAGAGGTGCAGCCTCTAGAACTGAGTAAATTGAAATTCCTCTTAAATCATGAACGTTGTGTCGTTTGTTACCAGAAACTAACACAGGAGCCATAAGCTACATGTGGATACAGAGCACTTGAAACATGGCTTGGTGAGGCCGTGGAACAAAATTTTAATTTTAAATTTTATTATTTTTTATTTTTATTTTTTTAATTTTAAATTTTAAATAGACAAATGTGGCTGATGGCTACTTTCTTGGACAGGGCAGCTCTATCAGTTTGTGTGACGCCTCCCATAGACTTATAAATACAAATTCTTTAATCAAGTTGATTCTTCAAACCAAAACTAAGAATAAATAAGTCATAAATTTACTGACCTCCAAGCATACTTTCATTGTGTATGTACACACATATATTATCTGACTTAAAAGTTAATAAAATAGCTCTCATCAGCAACTTCCAAATTACAGTCTGGCCATGTTTCAATATTTTTAAATGCGCTGGACAAACACATAAACTACATATAACTGAGCTAAAAGCCTTAAACTAAAATGTTGTCTTTCTTGTTTTGTGATCAAAAAGTTCCATTAGTTGAGAGATGCTATTCAGACTTGCTGAATACTGAATTAACAAAGTGTGATGAATTGGACTTCATGAAATATTCATGAGCTCTCATTTAACGCTAATTAAATTTTTATAAAGGCCTATGTTAAATGATTTTAAGACCCTGGCTCAGACTGACAAGCATGAAAAATTAAAGTTCAGAAGAAAATTCAATTCCAAATCACATAGTTGAATTATACAAGTTAGGAGTGCATTTAAGAGTCTTTTCTTACAATGAATTGCTGTCGCCTGTAACATTAAAACAAATTTTAAAAATCACTTTTTTCATATCCTTTGCTCATTAAACAAAACTGTGCTAGTCATTAATATCTGCTTTATCCATGCTAGAAAAATGAAGGATGCCACTCTCTAAGGTAGCTGGGAACACTTAAGAGTGTCATCTCAAAGTACCAACAGTAAGATTTGCTATACTACTTTTTTAATAGCACTTTTATCTGAAATTGGAGATAAAGAAATGTGTTGAGGAAACCAGGCTATATACATCCTCAAGTTATTTTGAAGGTCTAAGAACTAAGAATTTGGGAAACAATGTATCTAGGAACTTTAATTTTTGGTAAAACTGAAATAGTTAATGGGACTTTTTCTTAGTTGGTCAGAAGACATTTACTCTGACAACCAACTGGATATAAAAGCAGTGCAAATTTAGATTAAATCTCAAAATAAATAGCCCATATATGTGTGTGTGTGTATCTATCTATATATAGATATACACATATGTTGTTGTTTTTGCTTTTGGAGACAAAAACAAATGTACTTCAGGCTGGCCTTGAACTATGTAATCTAGGCTGGCCTTGAATTTGCAGTGATCCTCCTGTCTCAGTCTCCCAAGTGCTGGGATCAGGGGTGTTCGCCACCACACCCAGCAACAGCCAATATATTTTAAAAGTGAAAATTCAGCTACGTTAGTAGCAGTGATGTTTAGCCACCCTTTCCAGTAAACTCAATTTAAAGATGTTTTCTAAAGAACCAGCAATTCAGAAGCTTAATTTCTATTAAATACCAATAAGCTTTTTTTTTGGTACCCAAGACTGAACTCGGACCTTGTGTTTGCGAGGCAGGCACAGCGCCACTGAGCTAAATCCCTGGCCCCCAGTAGGCTTTTAAATAAGACATTTTGTTGAAAATTTTAGAGGTGTGCAAACTTAAATATAGTAGAATAGGCCTCCCAGAAAATATCTAGTGGAAGTGACAATGAGAGGACAAGAATTAAGTCTTTTAGAAGCTACAAGTTTCTGAACTTTCAGGTACAGAGTAAATTCTTACTGACCAGTGAAAAGCAAAAGGAACTGGGAATGAGCAGCAAGAATAATGTCACTAAGCGTCTTAGTTTGCTCAGGCTGTTGGGAAAGAATACATAGATTGGTGGATTAAAGACAACAGAAATTTTTCCATTTTGGAGGCTAGGAAATCCAACATCAAAGTGCTACTTGATTTCGTATCTGGGGAGGGTTCACTTTCTGGTTCACACATTATGACCTCTTGCTTCACAGGATCGAAGGGGCAAGAGAGGGCTCTAAGGTCTCTTTTGTAAGGGAACCAGTGCCATCTGTAAGGGCTCTGCCCCTATGATCTAAACAATTCTCATCTCCTAAACCCACCACAGTGAAGGGTTTCCATACTGTATATAAATTCTAGAGGAACAGTGTCTGCTGTAGCAACAAGTGTTGCAAGAAAATGATTTTTTAAAAAATATGTAAACTGTACTTCCCATTACTCCTAAGGTCAAAATATTAAGTCTCCTTTCCCATAAGATAGTAGATACACTGAAGTATTATGCAAGCATTACAATGATTATATTCCTTCTCATTTATTTTCATGTTCACAATATATTTAGATGCTCACAATATATTGGAAGAAAAATATGAAATGTTATGATCCCATTTCTTAAAAAATAAGACACATACACACAATTTAGGTAGAAAAAAGCTTAAAAGAATATACACCAAACTGTGAATGGTAGTTAGCAGTAGTAGTTAATGATGATGATTTTTATTTTCTTTAGTATTTTTTCCTATATTGCCTAAATGTTTTCTAATGAACACTGTCAATTTGTTTTTGTTTTTTTGAGACAGGGTCTCACTATGTAGTTCATGCTGGCTTTGAACTCACTATGTAGCCCAGGCTAGCCTTGAACTTTTAATGATCCTCCTGCCTCAGCCTCCAAGACAGCTGGGGTTACAGGTGTGTGTCACCACACCCGGCATGTCCATTTCAAATCAGGAAAACCATAAAGATATTTCCATTCTGGAAAAAATGCCACTGGGAATTAAAACTAATATTTCAGTAGCTTAGAAATGATTCATTTTGTCATCAGTCTCCTGGGGTCCTCTTTTTGATAAAAAGACCAAGTACTAGTAAATATATTCCATCAATATACTATGGACTACTGAGAACAATTTAAGCACACTTTTGCTATATAGTTTTGAAAATTTCTCTGTAAATTAAACTTCAGAATATTGTATTTTACCTGGGCAAATTTCTCTTAGTAAAAAAATCTATTCCGTAATTTATCCAGACAATTTGCTTAAAGTGAGATTTTCCTTATCCTGAGAAAGTAAATCATCATACTTTAACTTTCATATCCAAATGGTCCAGAGCTCCAATTACTGAAAATTAAACTTTATAGTTCATGCAGCCAATGATTACCTGTTTGTTGGTCACTGCAGGTGATACATATGCAAGAACTTAAAACATGAAAGCATGCTTTTTAGAGTAATGACCAGTAAGAGTCATTGCAGACAGGAACTGCTTTATTTTTTCCATTCAAGCTTTATCAAATGGATTGTTCAAAAAGCATACACAAGAGTAAAACAAAAAACAAAACAAAAACAACACATGCAATCAAACTTGTTTTGTCCTAGTCACTGGTTTTCTTTAGAAAAATACACATTTTAGTAACTTGTAATTCAAACTGTTTCCACTTTGTTAGCAATAATAGATACATTTAATAATAATAAATGTATTTATTCTCTCTCACCTTTATTCATACTGACATAACACAGTCTATAAAAATCAAATCTTTCACTGCTCAAAATTCTGGAAAGGTTCTTTTACACAATAAGATTGTGATGTTAAGAAATCACACAAAACTAGTATTTGCAAAGTGGATGAAAAATAGGATATGCTGTTTGAAAGAAAACAGTAATAATTTCTTATCTAAATGATTTCAATCAAATGAATAATATATTCATCTGGTAATAGCCTCTCTTTAAGAGCACAAAAAAGTGCTCATATTACATTTAACAAAAATAACTAAGACCTCACAGAACTGAAATAATTTAAGTAAAGATGACAGCCTGGGGAATCAAGATTACATCTTTGCTTCCAAGGCATGGAGGCACGTTTGAATTTATTCAAATCAGAAGGAAAATAAAACACTAAGTTTGCAAATGCAAAGCTTCCTGCCTTGAAAAGATAGAAACTGTCTTTATAAGGTTCTCATGTTTTCCTTTAGATAAAGGCCATTACTATGAAATCAGGTGTCTCAGCTACACTGCTCAGCAACTGACAAAGCTGGGCCACTTCTGGTGATTGTTCTTCTCCAGCTGCTATCAGCATTCATTTAGGGAGGGCTTGAGAGAACAAATAAGTATCCCTGAAGACACCTGGACTGCTAGAATCCACTAGTCTCAAAAGAACTTTTGTATCAATATAGCAATTGAGTGGAAGAATTTCCATGCCCAAGTCACTGCGCGGTTTTGCTGGAGCCAATCTAGAAGTCCGATCATCCTCCTCTGAAGGAACCCAAAACTGAATTCTGAAGGAAGAAACTAGAGTTCTGGTAAGATGCTAGATTCAAGTTTTCTCTCCATCTTTATAAATACTCACTCGTCTAGATGTTAGTCACAAAGATGAGAGCCAGATGAAATGCAGGTGACCACAACCTAGACATCCAGTATCAAAGATGCTAAGCATGGACCCTATCCTAGAATTATTTTAATAATGCTAAGAGTATTTACCACTCTCTTTGCAATCTTACTTTGAAATTTCTGTCAAATTTCAGATATATCCATAACTTATTATGGAAACAGAAAGCACAGCATAATTTTATTTATATTAAAATTATGAGGGATGTCATTAATAGTTCTCTTTATTTCTCTGGGTATGGTATGATTTCAGATAACTTTTACTTTCTTAATGTTTTAATTGCTTACAGTATTATTTTTATATATAAAAATCACAGTGAAACGATGTTCATTTTCAAGAGAAAAAGAAAGTTCTACAGATTCTGGAGATAGTTCCAAGTTAAGACTCTTAAATACTCTTGAGAGACTACTTTATGGGTCAAAATTCTCAAAAACATAGAATCTTTGTAATAAGAGAGAAAATGTTTTTCTTCAGTCTTCTATCTCCAGTTACTAAAGTTTTTGGCACATGGTAGGTGTCTCCTTCTGCCATGGATTGAATATGCACAGTTCAATTTACAGACAGTTCATTTTTTAAATCTTTGTTTTATGATCCTTCAATGTGTTCTAACAAAGGGAAGGTTATTGTTTAATGTTTTATTGAAATTCAGTCCCTTTTGGAAAAAAGTTTAAAATCGGTAGTTTTATAATATGGTTTCTAAAAGATCAATCAATAGAAAACATAAGAATGGGTAAAATGGGGACTATAGTGAAGTAAGTGGCTAAGCAGGTGGCAGCAGAAAGGACCAAGTGAGAAAGAGAATGCAAGAAATCAGCCTTCCTCTGTTCTTCAACCTGTTTACAACACAACCTGACTGTGACCAAGCACTGGTATGACTGATTCTAAACTGACACCTAGCCCAGGGGCCCCAGGCCTGTTAAACAGGTATTTGTTGAACAAAGAGAAAGAGGGAAAGGGGGCTTGGCTCTGCTGCATGTTACCAAGGACAGCACCTACTCTCAATCAAAAGACCACCTCTTGCCCTGGGTCAGAATGACTTCTACTGACTTCAGTGTGATTTGTGGCACAGCTACAAAAGCAGTCAGGTATTAACTTGTTTTTATCAGTAACAAAAGACAAGTGTCCTGAGTTCTAAGGAATGAAAAATTAGTGCCTATTTCTTTTAGATGGAGCTTAGATCACGGCAGCACTTAATATTTTTCTTTAAAATATTGTTTCTTAAATTTTTAGAAATAGAACAAATAATATGTCACTGGAGTAATTACACATTTTATTGTCCAAACTAAGATACTTTGCTGTTGTTGTTGTTTTGGTACCAGGGATCAAACTCGGAACTTTGCGCTTTCCAGGCAGGTGGTGGAACCACTGAGCTAAAATCCCCAGCCCCCAAACTGAGATACTTTTGAAAGTAAATGGTAGCACTAGTAGCAATTATTCTAGGGGAAAATGATGTCAAGAAGACAGACATGAACAGAACCTTCTGGACAAAGGGACACCCGATACAAACACAAGCTCTCTTTATTATGTTTGCATTTTCTTTTTCAAATTCTCTATTAAACTACACAACATAACATTTGGCAGCAATTTAATATTGAACACTGAGTGACAGCACAGTTTTGCTCTCTAGTGAAGACATATTTTCTAAGTGATGAACCATACTTTCCACCTTCTTCCCTGTACTTTAAGTTTCCCAGGATAAACCACTGTCTTAACGGATCTGAGGAAAGTCTGCTTCAATTTCTCTAACAGAGCAATAAGAGCATGACTGTGATTATATTACTTAGGGTCACATCTTAATTTTACTTCCCAAAATATTAACTAGAGAAGTTTAGCATGTTTTGCTCTACAAACTTTCAAAATGACAAACCCCAGTTACAGGCCCAGGTCATAACATATTTTTAAACTCTTTATATTAACCATGAGATTCTCACTAATACATTGCCACAAAATATTTTAGAAATGCTGTAGAACAGTGAAACTGGAAAAGTCTACTTCATGGGTGGCTGCAGCCTCTCCCCCAGGCACAGGGCTCAAGGCCCCAGCAGGAGGCACAGTGCTCGCTTCAGTTTCTGAACAGCAGCATCCTCTCGGAGCACGCCTGCCCCACCAGGTTTGCGTACTGCAGCACAGTGGCCTCCTCGCTTGGGTCTTTTTGGTGTTTCTTATAAACACCGTAAGGCATGATGGCTTTCTTGTGAAACACCCGCACTCGGTCAGGTTCCTTACTGCGACCTTCATCCACTGCAACGAGAAAACATGCTGATCAAAAACGGTTTTGTATCAAACTACTTTTCATTTCCTAATTTTAAAATATTCAATTTGAAACATAGCTAAACATGAACAGGCTCTCTCTGGAAAAGTGTGTTCAAGTGAGGGTATGCAGCATTAATATCCAGACTAACGTATGTTAATAAAAAACAACAAATGCCTTTCTGAGCGGTAATAACTATCCTCCATAGGACAGCTGAACTTTGAGACAAACTGAAAAGCTGGCCTTGTATACCTGAATGATTTTCTGAGACACAGTAAAGTTTACAGCTTTCCAGTGCCTTTCCAGAGCCTGATTTAAATCTACTTTGCTTCTACCTGTACCCTCATACTGTCAGAAGTTTTATCTCAGTGAGGACACTTTCCAGTGACTCAGCAGTCATGAGCAGGGGCTGGGCAATGGGTGCTCGTGTTCTCCATGGGAGGGCAGCTTCTCATAGCATCCTTAAGGAATGGTAGAGGCCACTGGTGGTTGCTGTTACTGGTTTTCCTCTTCTTCCAAATAAAAGAACTCCTGGTTTGTACTGGGGTTCTCAGAAAACCTGTTCCCCGGCCTTTCTTGCAGGTGGGTGTGGCCTCATGACCAAGTTAAAGCCAATGGAATACAAGTGAAAGTGTTTTGTGAGTTTTCAGGAATCTTTCAAAAGGAACAGCTGATTTCATTTTTCAACCTCTCCTCAGCCTGCAGCCTAGACCATGGATGTAATGGCAGGAGCACTTACTCTACCTTGGAGCTGGCAAACACAAAAGATTAGAATCATCAGGGTGGGGTCCCTATGACTGAAAATTGGTGGCTTAACAAGAAAAAAACCAGAGTACACACATACCTGCTTCATATCCCTTGCAGTATGCTGCTCTGTGCCACCTCAGGGATCTACCAGCAAGAAGGCCATCCCAGATGTGGATTGTCAACTGACCTGGGACTTTCAGAATTGTGAGCCAAAATAAACCTTTCTAATCTTCTTTCTAATTTATCTAGTCTGTGCTATTTTATATTGGTAATAGAAAACAATAAGACATCAGGGTAAGTAACAAAGGAAAAGGCAGCTCCCTGCTTGCTGCTATCAATTTCAGACATCCAAATGTATGCACACTGGCATCCATCACCTGGCTTTAAGTGTCTCCAGCATGGAAAAGGCAAATTTGAGCATGTTTACAGTCTACACCAAATAGCAAAGTACAGATCACTGACAACAGCAAGGGAAAGAAGTGAAACATTGGCAAAATGACCCCAAAATGATTCTAAACCTTTTAAATGTAAAACTTTGGATTTTTAGGGCCCAGGATTTAGCTCAGTGGTTCCGCCTCCTGCCTCAGGCACAAGACAAGGTCACAAGGTCCAGAGTTCGATCCCCGGTACCAAAAAAATCCCCAAACAACAAAGCAAAAAAACCTTTGGATTATAAAAATTGTAGTTAAAAAAATAGGCTTATGTTTAACTGAATAGATTGATGTTTAACAATTTAAACTTTAATCCTAAAGTATTTTATAACAGACATACTTTAATATTTCAAAAATGGAATCTAGCCAATAAAAATGTGAGATTTGATATGTTATATTTTTATCTCAAATGTAATGCTTTATTCTAATTTTTACACAAATAAAAAGGAGAACGGGCTGGGGATTTAGTTCAGGGGTTCCACCACCTGCCTCGCAAGTGCAAGGTCCCGAGTTCGATCCCGATAACCCCCCCCCCCAAAAAGGAGGATTACAGGGAAAAATACCACATGTATAATTTTATCAACTCTTTTGTTACCAGGATTCGAACTTGGGTCCTTGCACTTGCGAGGCAGGCTGCGGAACCACTGAGCTAAATCCCCGGCCCTAATTTTATCAACTCTGAAAAACTGTATTCCTTGTAGAAAGAAGGAATTTTGTTATTTCACTGGTCAAAATGTATATTTCAATTGTATTTACTGAGACTACATGAAAAGTTCAAAAACTACACACACACACACACACACATCTCTCACATTTTTGGGAAATTATAATATCTACGTTTCAACCACAGAATTCCAGATTGGCTTATGAAGCTACTAATCTCTATAGTTGACATATATATGCAATTAAATCTCCTAAACTTCTAAATTAATTTATAGCACTTTTAGAAAGTCTTATGACATAGAAATCAATCAAATTTAATAGTTTTTACTCCAAATACTTTTGAAGCTTGGAATAACTCAGGAACAAATGCACAGTACAGTTATAAAGTAGACACCAACAAGCTATTCACTTTTTTTTTTTTTTGGTACCAGGGATCGAACTTGGGACCTTGCGCTTGTGAGACAGGCGCCAGAACCACTGAGCTAAATCCCCGGCCTCCTAAACTATTCACTTTTAACAACACATATAATTACCAAAGAGTGGTATTAATTTTTAACTTCTCTCCTCATTCTCTTCACTATGAATGTATACAAGTCATTTGGAAACAGGTATGTTTAGTTTTAGTGTTCAAATATTTCAAAAGTTTGTGGAATTGTTGTCATTTAATATTCCATATAGGGTGGTACTGATTCTTTTGTTAACTCACCAGATTATGCTGAGACTTAATAAAAATTCTTTTCATTAATTTACTGAAATACAAATTAATTTCTTTATTATCCCAGACCCTTTCCTTTTCCTGTTACTATACTTCGGCTGTACAAAGGGCACTGAAACACTTGCAGACTGTGTGCTGCCTGGGTCTGCTCACCCTTCTTCACTCCCAGCTGCTTCCCTGGGCTAGTGTGCACACTGATGCCAATACACGGGCTTCTCACATTTCACACAACCCCCAGTACCTAGGTGAGATTACATCATAATTCTGCAGCCACATTGATTTGAACTCCTTCCCAAATTCTCTTAGGAGTGACTTCATGTATGCAACCAAGAAGGCATATTATTAAGCTATTAACATAAACAAATCAAAGTAGCTGTAGTAGCCTTTAGAAAGTAGCTTGTCTTTTCCCTATTAAAAAAAATTTAAATTACAACTCAAATGTACAATTCCACCTACTCAAAAAGGCCAAAGATATCAATCTAAAACCTCTAATGTTTTAGAAAAAGGGAATTCAGATTAACAAGACACAGTAACAGAAATAAAGTAAAGGGCTGGGGATTTAGCTCAGTGGCACCTCGCCTGCCTGGCAAACCCAAGGTCCTGAGTTTGATCCCTGGTACCACACACACACATCAAAAAAAAAAAAAAAAGAAAAGAAAAACAGAAAAAAAGAGATAAAGGAAAGATAAACTGCACATTAAAAAAACCTTGCTATTTCAATAAATTGAACCAAAAATTAACTGGAATTGGTTATAAATGAATTAAGAAATAGTAATAATTACATTATTTTTTATTTTACATCTTTTAAAATAATAGAAGTAATGCCTGTTGTAAAACTCAAACATCACAGGACACACAGAGCAGAGTGCACTAGCAGCCCCATACGTGACCCTGGCACCTACATTCCCTTCCGGCCTCACCAAAGGCCCATCCAAGTTACCAGTTTTTAAACAATTTCATAAGATGTATTTAAATATTCAAAGATAGTCTGAATCACATTCTAGCTATACTTAATGCAGAAAATCAAATCAAATCATCTTGTCAGTGGCTATTATTAACTTCAGAGACCATTAATTATCATCATAAACACATTTCTGTTTGCTGGCTCAAAAATCTATGGTTTACGATTTGTTTATGGCTTATTATTTAGTTACATTATCAATGAAGGTAGATTCTGATTCTTAGTGTTCCCTATAATTTATTTTTAAATTTATAGAAAATAATCCTACTACCAGTTATTGAAAATAAATTATTTACTAAGGAAAAATATATCTCAAATCCTTATAAAATCTTTTAATAATCTTCATATATTACTTTTTGATAAATGTCATCAGTGCTTACAGACAAAAATCTACAGAGCTAAACCAACATAGCATAACAAGCCTTTGCTTGAGGGAACTTGGATGACAGAAAAAAATAAGTCATTTTGAGAAGAAAGATAATTGCTATCTCAACTCAGGGAAACTGCCAGCTTATTGAGGTGTCTTAGAAATATGTTCCAACAAGAATTTCTTTTCCTTTCCCTTTCCCTAATGTCTCACAATTTAATTTCATGAAATAAAAACTTTAACTCTTTTCTGGGATGAGCATTTGATCACTAGTGAGACAAATATGCTGTTAACTCTATGATATTTTAATCTTTAAGAAAAACTCTAGGGGGCAAGAAGTGCTTAATCCCCCCCAAAGTTTTACTTATAGGAGATGAACTATTGAACATAGGTACTTTCAAAGTAGAAGAATCGAGAGATCAAAGCTTTATTTCTCCTTCTTAGGAGGATTTAGTTCATTTGTTATTCTTAAAGAAACTTAAGAATTTTCTAGGCTTCTCCCAAAATGATGAAAGTCTATTTTCTTAACTTTATTATTTATTATTACATTATTTCATAAACATGAAAAACAAGTTATACACTTTATAGCTGCCAACAGCTGTATAAATGGTAGACACAGCTAAATATACCATAACTGAGCAAAACTGATATAATGGGAAGAATTGTGAACCAATGTATGACAGAGGGAGAAAAATTTGACCAAAAACTCAAGTCTGGAAGCTCAAAGTCAAGAATGACTTAGAATCTTTTGTTGTGACAGGAGATAGAAGCAAGTGTTGCAATTATTTGGGGGGAGAAAGAGGAGCAAGGAGGTTTTTTTAAAGAAAGTTCTTAGTACAAGATAGCAAAGGGGGAGTGGTGTGGGGGAATGAACAGTACACGGTTATGTTAGAAAAGTAAGTTCAACCAGCTTCTTCAACCTTGTTTGGTGGGAGGTTCAAAAATTACTTTGAGAATCCATCCTGGAGAATGCAATAGATTTTCATATTCTATAAAGACTGCATCAAATTTAAACCTCTCCTTATCTGAGAAATAAACACCCTACCCATCAGCAGCCAACATACTGAAGCACTACCACAGACTGTTTTCCGAAGTGCTGCATCATT